GAACGAACCTGATTTTAAAACTGAGGAAGTTGCTGAGGGCCCCTGCTTGTATGCTGAGGGTCACAATTCCTATAAAGACCCAAAGGGGTCAAACCCCAAGGGCAAGGGTTATCAGCCTTAAAAAAATCAAAGCCCAGAGAAGCAAAGTCACCACTATTTTACCACCTGTCATCGATGGTTTGGGATCGGACAAAACGTCCCGATTTCCTTCCCGAAAATAAGAAAGTTGGGGGATTTTTTGTTATGGTAAGACCAAGCACCCTTTGTTAAGCATTAATGGTATAAAAGCTCAGTATATTACTGATACTGGATGTACGTGCATTAATTTCGGACAAAAAAGTTCCCTTACTTAAAACCTCTCGTGTGCCTCTATTTTTTCAGATTACTTTGGGGCGTAAAAACTTTCCCCCAATTTTTGTTACTTGAAAACTAAATGGTTCACTGGTTGGCTAATCGGTACTACCCCAATTACTTGTTTAAATAGTGGGTAACATAAAAGGGGCCCTTCTTCCTTCAGAGGCGGAACTTTCGTCCCCACCCATGGATCTAAGTTTTTTCCCCTCTTCTTCCTTGCAAGTTAAATAATCACCTTAACAATTTCCCCCCGGAACTGCATGTCTCTACTGTCATTGGGGGTGGAAACAGATGATACTGCTCTCGATAGTGAGGTAGCAGGATCACCTGTCCACTCGTCGGGTGAAAGTAAGGGTATTATCTCCGGCACTCTCAATGTCTTGACTAGGACTGACCATAACCCCGGCTTCTCCTACCTCCTCTTCTCCCACCATAAGTCCTTTTATTTTCCCAGATTTTATGTCCAAGGATGACTTTGTCAATATACAGCGCAATTGCCCTTCACTTCGGGATTGTCATAATCAAGCTTTTAATAACAACAAAGTTATCCACGGGAGATACATATCTCATAAGTTTGAATATATTAATGGTATCTTATATAAATCTGTATTTAAATCTCATTCTTCAGTGATAGATTATTCCCTCCTTGTTGTTCCTAAACCATGTCGAGAGACTGTTCTTCAAATGGCTCATGATTTGCCAGTGACCAAACACTTGGCCCATCGTAAGACGTGGCATAAACTCAAGCACACTTATTTTTGGCCAAGCATGTACTTACAGGTTACAAAGAAGTATAGTTCTTCCAATAGGTGTCAGGTGCTTACTGCACAAAATACGCACACTCCTAGATCCTGTATATTTATTAAATCTAAAACTTCCCTCCTGCAGAAACGAGATACTCCACCATAGAAAAGGAATGTTTGGCCCTTGTGTGGGGTATCTCCAAGCTTAAATTTTATCTACTGGGAAAAGAATTCATTTTAGAAATGGTTCATCCAATTATTTCTCTGACTGGTTAAGTCATGACAGTCAGTAGGAGATTTGTTGCCTTACGCGACTTCCACATGTTAGAACTTTTTTCTCGCCTATTCTTCTTATACTCCTTGACTATAAGTCTTGGTATGGAGGAGTGTGAGGGAAAAGTTCAATAGATAGGAGTAGTGAGGGAGTATATAGTAACAATAGTTTCATTGCCGGCTACTTGTTAAGGTAGGGCAAGTCCAGCTCCCGCTATTCTCCCCCCTTTTCCCCCCTCCCCGAAAGTGAAAGTTTGATTGCCGGCTGCTTGTTAAGGTAGGGTCAGTCTAGCTCCGGCTATTCCTTCCCCTCCCTCTTCCCCCCTCCCCCCCGAAAGGTGACGTGTGGGGCTCCGGCTGAACAGTAATCACTCGACTCACAGCTCCCAACACTTCTGTAAGTACACGCCTGATCACATTTTAGTGGACTTATTGGTTGAAAGCTTCACTTCTGACCAATAATTAACTTAGTCCTTTCAGTCATTATCTGTTAAATGTTTTAATAATCACCACATCTTTTAGGTATTGTACTTATCATGGAGAGTGATTTCTTAAGCAGTGAGTAATCTGTCTCTCTTTACAGCTTGGAATGACAGAGAGGGTCACCTGCCACCCAACGAGAAGAATAGAAGGAGACGGACTAACGTCCTGAGACGTCCCATGTTTAATCTACTTACCTGTTATGTAAGCCAACACAGGATCTAACCCCTCATCATAGCAGTGGTAACGAACCTGTTTTCCTGTCATCGGAAGTAATTAGTCACAGCTACACTCTGTGAAGAACGAGCCGGTGGTGGTCACCAACACCTGCTACCCCCCTCCCCCCCACATCAACAACGGCTACGATTTCAACAACACGCAGTGTCACCAACACCTGACACCCCATTACCACGATATACCTATATTAGCGTTGAGTTCAAATGTAATTTTTTTCATTTCATTTTTCATTTTTCATTTTTCTTTCAATTAGGATACCCATTCATGTTTTATTGTTTTACATTTTCCATTTCTAAATAATAAAGTGTTTATCATTGTCTGTTATTATTTCTTTTTCTATTCATTAATTTTCCTGAGGAGGAGCCAGCCTTGGTAATACTGACTGAAGTTGTTATAGGGCTGAGTAAGCCTTCACAATGTGGTATGTGTGCACCACATAAAACAAATCCTGCAGCACACAGTGTATAATGAGAGAAAAAAACTGAGACCGTGATTGTCTATTAAAACAGCGGCTTTGCAGTGTTTTTTCGTATGTTTTTTATAGTTGTATTTGTGATTTCTTGGTCACATTTGATAGAATGGAAGACATATTACAGAAATAGAGATGATTTTGATTGGTTTTAGTAATGGAAATGACTTGAAACTGAGCTCAAAGTAGAGGAAATGTTAAATTTTTGCCAATGTTCAAGAGTAAACAAACGACCTCACACGTCTAATACACGCCAGCTGGTGGGTCTAATATACATTCACAAATGTGGTGATGATATTTATACAATTATTACAATATTGCATAACAGTAAATCTTCTATTTTTTGGTTTGAATTTTAAATTCCTTGTGTGAATAAAAAATCAAAATGGAATTCATGTGTAAAGCCTCAAAACATAACTAATGAACAGAGGAAATGTTAGTTTAGTGCCAGGAATACCTACATTGTTTATTCTGGACCCTATTTTGAAATTGGAATATTTTGAACTTTGTGTTAAATTGGCCAAATTACCAATTTCCGATCACTTTATTCTGTAGTTGAAATAGTTGACTTGGTGATTTCTTGTTGTCAATCGATAGAATAGAAGTAATACTAGTGAAATAGCTAAGAATTTGGTCGACTGGTACAATGTAATTGGCCTAAAATGGGAGTCAAAGTCGGCAAAATCGCCGATTTGTAAATATCACTGACACATCAAAATTCGCGAGAGCATAATTTCGTCAATTTTCCATCAAATTTCGTACTTTTTGTTTTATTAACTCCAGAAAAAGATTCTCTACCATTTCATAAGAAAAAATAACAATTTTTTTTTTAAATTCTTGGACCCTGGTGCGCACTTTGAAATTTGGCCTCTGGACCCTGAAAAGGTTAAAGCATTTTCTCGTGCCTGGAATTCCACTGGAACGAATTAATTCCATTTCACTTAATTTAAATGAAGAAAATTGACTCTGCAAACGAGCAAATCCAGTTGCGAGCAAGGTCATGGAACGGATTAAACTCGTAAGTAGAGGTTCCACTGTAGTTGACTGGGCAGTTTCTTGTGCTCAATCAATAAAATAGAAGTGATACTAGCAAGAACGCTAAGAATTTGGTTGACTGGAATAATGTAATTGGCCTAAAATAGGAGTCAAAGTGGGCAAAATCAACCAGAGAAGTAAGCCATAGCTCTGTCTTCCTTTGCGGATGACGCGCGAATTGCCATGACAGTGTCCTCCATCGAAGACATAGCAAGACTCCAAGTGGACATAAACCGAATCTTCAAATGGGTCACTCAAAACAATATGAAGTTCAATGAAGAGAAATTTCAACTACTTACTCAAATATGGAAAACTTGAGGAAATTAAAACTATCAGGGTATACCACAAATTCTAACCATATAATAGAGCAAAAAAGTAATGTGAAGGACCTGGAAGTGATAATGTCAGAGGATCTCGCCTTTAAAGACCACAACAATGTATCTACTGCATCTGCTAGGAAAATGATAGGATGGAAAATGAGAACCTTCAAAACTAGGGATGCCAAGCCCATGATGATTCTCTTCAAATCTTTTGTTCTCTCTAGGCTGGAATACTGCTGTACACTAACTGCCCCCTTCAAGTCAGGTGAAATTGCTTACCTGGAGAGTGTACAAAGAACTTTCATGGCACACAAGTACAATAAGGCACCTAAATTACTGGGAATGATTGAAGTCCCTTGATTTGTATTCCCTGGAATGCACCTAAGAGAGATGCATGATAATATACACTTGGAAAATCCTAGAGAGATTAGTACCAAACTTGCACACGAAGATCACTCCCTATGAAAGGAAAAGACTGGACAGATGCAACATTCCCCTGATGAAAACCAGGGGCACCACAAGTACACTGAGAGGCAACACAATAAGTGTCAGGGGCCTAAGATTGTTCAACTGCCTCCCAGTATACATAAGGGGGATTACCAATAGACCCCTGGCTGTCTTCAGGAAGGCGCTGGACAGATACCTAAAGTCAGTACCTAACCAACCGGGCTGTGGTTCATACATCAGTTTGCATGCAGCCAGCAGTAACAGCCTGATTGATCAGACCCTGATCCACCACGAGGCCTGGTCTCAGACCGAGCAGAGGGGAAAGGGGTTGTCCCCAAAACCCCCTGCAGGTATACTCCAGGTATGCATAAATATCGCTGACATAGCAAAATTCGCGGCCGTGTAATTTCATCAATTTTCCATCAAATTTCATACTTTTTGTTTTATTACCTTCAGAAAAAGATTCTCTACCATTTCATAAGAAAAAAATAAAAAATTTTTTTTTGAAAATTCTTGGACCCTGTGGACAAGTTTCCAGTCAGGGGTCTGGACCCTGAAAGGGTTAAAAGTCCAGATTATAGTACAAAGATTTAAATAAAAATATTCACAAGATATTTATAAAAGCTAAAAATCAAAACATACCGCTGCACAGCTTTTTTATGCTGGTCTCTACTTTTTTGTACTCGGAGAATGTAGTAGCACCATCAGCATCAGCAAACAGTAATAATTTCCCTCGAGAACGGAGCATACCCTGAAATAGCACTGTCAACTGAGAGTCGATGCAATACTAAGTTATTACAAACAGAAAATTATTAATACATTGAATTACCAAATAAACAACATGTGTTTCCCATCTATTCACTTATAATGCAAAAAGTTGTTATTGCCTTGGAGAGATATAACGTACTTTCACTGTATGTATATCTGGAAATATAAGACACTTTCATATGCATCAAAATTTATCTTACTGCTCACTGTGTGTTTAGCAAAGTATTACCTAAAAGCACAGTATATAAAGCTTATATTAATTAATCCACAGAATCAGCTTTAAATTGAAGTCATATACAGTATAGTAACACACACCTTGTGAGACAATGGTTGTAACCTCCCAATTTCTAATATGCTAGGAAATAAACAACTACAGATATTCAGCTTATTATATTCAAGGGGGTACACTCAACCCACTAAACCTGGACGAGTCAAAGCAATACTAACAAACTACTGATGGCATAGTACAACACCAGGTACTTGCCACTGATACAGACTTCTTATGCAGTTCAAAGAAAGATCTGCATTGATGCATATCATATTGTTCACCACATAATGATATGAATAACAAGTTCATGGCTAAATTTAGATTAACTAAAGTTACATATCAGAAAAAGTAACAGACAGTAATAATTAGTAGAGCACCTAGCTAGTAATGTACAGTAATATCAATGTGGCCAAAAAACTAGAACACTCTGTGGGACAAAAGGAAGTTTACTTCATACTACTGAGTGGATTGCTAAAAGGAATGAAAGAATGCTTGCATTAAGTTTGAAGATGCATCAACTTGTTGTTGCAACAGGTCAGAGAGATGATGAAACAACGTGAAGTTGGCAATACCCACAGAAGTATTCTTAAGAGATCTGAAAATTATAAAAATTTAAAAAGCGAGAAAGATTGGAGTTAGGGAGAGCAAACCATACAGTATTTTCATGTGGGGATAATTATCACTAGCATGTAGTTTCAGTCTACAAGAATAATGCAAAATTCTCACCATTTTGACAGCTCCTCCTTTACCCCTGTTCTTTGCCAAGGTGAGAATGCGTATTTTATCACATCCATAATTTTTGCAGTAGCTTTGTCCAACTTCTGTTGTTTTGTCTTTACTACCATCATCTACAAGGATTACTTCATAAGTGAAGGAGCTGTCTTGCTTTATTCTCCCTTCCAAGTAATTCAAGCATTCATTCATCATCACAGGTACTAGGAATAGGAAAAATAATAATACATGTACAGTACTAGTATTAGAGTGACTCAAAAAATCAAAAGTTATATCTTGAAATATACCTCCTGCTGTAATTTTAATCCACAGACTGCTCAAATTGTATAAAACATTGATTAATTTTATCCCTAATATTCCAAAGCAGTGATTTTAGCAAAACAAAACAAAACAAAAAAAATAAATAGTAGAAACAATATTTAGAGATTCTGAGAGTCTGAAGAGAAGTTGTAAATGTTGGTGTAGGAATGTGAGAGGGTATGTAAAAGAAGTAAATTAAATTTGAACAGAGGAAAGAGCAAGGTGATGAGGGTAACAAAAAATACAGGCTATGAAAGATCAGATATAAGTCTAGAAGAGAGAGTATGGAGGTAGTGACTGTGTTTAGATATTTGGAAATGGGCTTGAGGAAATGGATCTATGAATGATGAGCTGAACCACAGAACAGACAAGGGGAAAAAATGTGAGAGGTGCACCGAGGCATCTGTGGAAATAAAAAAATTTTATCAATAGATGCAAAAGGAGAAATGTATAGTGGTACTAACAGTATTATATGAGTGTTAGTTTAATATTATTATTATGTACTCCATACCCATCTTGTGGGCAGTAGTCAAAAGATTACAGAGGTACATAATGGGTCCAGGGACTGGATCCCAAAGGTATGATAACTGAACTAGTTACAAAGGCTATGAACCATCTACACTCCTATACATGGTTACAATCATGAACAAATACAAAGTAATGAGCCACTGACACATCCATACCCAGTCACAATTGTAACGAGTTATAAGTACAAATATTAAGTGGGTCATACACCTACACGAGCGCATGTGAAGTATAGATTTTAAGAACTAAAGTGAGGGTGGTGGCAGCAGAGGTGTCTTTTTTGAAGAAGTGTAAATATTATGCAGAAAATTTTTAGAGTGGAGATAACAAAAATCTAATTCAAGGGGGACTTACTGAGGTGGTTTTGGCATTTAGAAGGACAGGAACAAAATATAATGACTAGGACAGCATATAAATCTGGGGTGCAGGGAAGGAGTAGGAGTCATTCCAGGAGAATTGGAGGGAAAAGTTTTGAGTGCTAGTGGCTTGAACATCCAATATTCTTGTGTGAGCTCATGAGACTGGATTGAATGGAGGCAAGGCAAGTGGTTTTTATTACATGATATGCTATATTAAAGAAAGGATTTCAGGGAAAGTGGTTAGCTGGACTTGAGTCCTGAAGGTAGGGTACAGTGCCTGCACCTTAAAGAAGGGGTAGGAATGTTGTAGTTCAAAAAGCCATCTGAACTGGAATGTCAGGACACTTCTGAAAGGAGACTGATTGAATGAGAGAGCTTGGGAATGAATGATAGCTTTGAGAGCAGCCATGTGGTATGAAGCAGAAAACCCCAGGCTGCCGTTTTATTGTGATATCAAGGCAGAGTCTTGAGAGTTTATCATCATTAATTGGTACTATAATGAATATCATTTATGTCACAGAAAGTAACATGGCTGATTAATTTAATGTTATGTCTCTACTTTGTAAATACTGTTATTAAAAAGGTATATTTTTGTTATACAGCTGTTTTCCTGAAACCTTTATTATTGCTGTTGTATATTGTGCTTTGGAATACTCATCTACAGTGCTATTCACCATGATACCTTAGCAGAAAGTGTCCCGAGTGTTATTTTTTACCCTAGATTAACAGCTATTTTGTGCATGGTAACGAGGTAAATTATCTAGTTACTGCTATATAGGACCTCATGCACATATAATAATAATCCTAGGTATAAAATAAAAGAGAATATAAAAAGACCAGCAATATATAATTGGTGAATCTGAGGAATTCAGAAGGGATTGGTAACAGCCCCCTCGCATATTAACAGGTCTAAGAAGCCACTGTGTGGCTAAAAAAGCTTGCGATGGGAGCCTGTTAATCTGTGGACCCAGAAATGTAGTACCATGAAACTAATTGTTGTGGATGTGACTAAGTATTTCTGATTACCTATTTGTAGCTAGTGGAGCAGAGGTAAACTGGGAACTATTGCACCTTCAGTATATAAACTATCTTATAATTTATATAAATTTCAAGTGGTTGTAGCACTTGCTACCTCTTGCAACCCATTTCAATGTTCTACCACTTTCAAGTTATCTGTTTGGCACTTGAGAATACATTAGTAGTGTCAATGATATCCAAGGTTAAACCTGGAGGTAAGGTATCATTCTAATGAATTTAATTATCACAAAGAACATTTCTGACTTATTGCTCAAAAACTATTATTTAACTTTGCCTATTGGAGGAAATATCTTTAGGTGGATACAACCCAAACTCATTATGCTGTTTTTCAAATATTGGATGACAATAAGCTGAAACTTTTGGTGAGCACTGATGAAAAGTAATAAAAAACCATAAGTCACATTACTGAACTGGCTAGAGAGTAAATTAAAAAGTTTAAACAAATCAATCTTAAGCTAAATTACAGCATGCCTGCATAGCACAAGTATACATAAAAAACTGTATTTAAGCCAAAGGCTCCTTTGGCTTAATTACAAAAAGTAAGAGAATCCACTTTTTGTCATGAACAATTTGAGCCATGTTTCAAGTCCGAAACTTTCATATTCAAACTAATCCTAAGAAAACAATAAAAAATTTTGTAAGTTAATTCAACCTACACATGATAAACATAAGAATACCTGTACTATATAAACAAATACTGCGTATAAAATAACATGTAAATCCTCATACTATTTCTTTAACCTAATCTGCATTTTTTTCGCCAGGTAGGGTGACCCCAGCAGAGAAACCCATTCACATCCTTAAGTTATACAATCATAATGACTACTTGAGAAATTTTACTTAGTAATATAGAAAGAAACCTTTTAATATTTTTTTTATTCCATGTAGAGATCTACTTACATCTTTTCTCCTCATTGTATGCTGGTATAACAACTGAGAGTGATTTAGTTGGTGCATCTGTTATGGATGGGAATTCCAGTTTTTTGCCAGTTGAAACATCTATGTAGAATTTTTCTGACTCATAAACATTATTTCTTGGGTATGTTTCACTGCTAACATATATTGCCACACATAGCTAAAAACAAATATAAGGAAAATTATAAACAGTTTATTAAATTAAATGCTGCGAGTATTCACAAAAGTCAGCAAACTACTGTACAATTACAGATGACTATGCTAATCATATTTGTAAAATCTTTTTTTACATAAAGTATTTCAAACATGATTAGAAGAAAAAAATAAAATGTACTTAGTAGCATAATGCATTAAAAATTACCAAAAATTTACAAATTCACAATTTATGTATAGAATTTGGATATAATCTAGAATTATAAAACATACTTAATCATCATCATCTTTCAACAAAACGGCTGAATCCCACCAAGGCAGGGTGGCCCAAAAAGAAAAACAAAAGTTTCTCTTTTTAACTTTAGTAATGTATACAGGAGAGGGGGTTACTAGCCCCTTGCCCCTGGCATTACAGAGGAAGAATTCTGTTCCAATTCTCCATGGAGAATATACTTAATGTGGAAATAAAAAAAAAAAAAATCAGGCGACTCACTCACAATGGGTTCAAACCATACCCATTCCATGGATTGTTTAAAGAGTCATGTCTCCAATTACAGATTTTTACCGTGACTGGCTTGAAATGATTACTAATTCCTAAGCACAGCAAGCAGTACTATATAGGGTTAGTAGAGAAGAGCCGAGTACATAATAATGGGTCATGGAGAGTATACCTGCTATTTACGATATCTTCTTAGGAATATACAGTAATGGAAATAAGTGTTAAGAAATATAGGTGTATCACCTACTTGTAGGCATCAGAATATGCCTTCTTAGAGGGCCATCCAATTAAAGAAGGCAATATTATCATGCAGGTGAGGGAAGGGAAATGTTAAGATTACATGTATTTTGTATTTGCTATGTTGCTAGAGCACTTCACTGAAAATTTTCATATACGTCGGCATATTTTATCAAAATTAACAACCAAGGAAAAATAAAATTTAGAAATCATAAACAATATAAAAAATTAAAATTTAACCCTTTGACTGTCGCAAGCCCCTTTCTCAAACTGTCATTGTCACAAAATTTTTGGAAAAAAAAAAATTATTTTTTCTTAATGACAGAGAATCTTTTCTCAATGGTAATGACACCAAAAATACGAAATTTGGTCGAAAACTCACAGAATTACACTCCCGCGAAGTTAGCGGTCTCAGTGACATATACGCATCGGCGATTTTGCCAACTTAGAGCCCTGTTTTGGCCAATTCCGTTGTTCCAGTTGACCAAACTCATAGCTATTTCTTTAGAACTCCATTTTTTTCTATCAGTTGAGTACAAGAAACTGCCCATTTACCAATCTGAACTACCCGATAAAGTGGTCAGAAATTGGCAATTTGGCCAATTTCATGCAAATAAAAAAAGATGCCAATTTCAAAATAGGGTTCAGAATAAACAATGTAGACATTCTTGGCACTAAAATAACATATCCTCTGTTCATTAGTCATGTCTCTAGGCCCCTCTTATATTACTATTGCTTTCTATTTTGATTTTTTATTTATACAAAAAATACAAAATTTACTGTTATACAGACTACTGCATTATTGTAAAAATAGTATAAATAATATCAGTGCACTAGTGAAAGAATATTAGACTCCCCAGTTGACGTATATTGGACATGTGGTGTGATTTGCTTACTCCTGAACATTGGTAAAAATCGAACATTTCCTCTACTTTGAGCTCAATTTCAAGGGCGTTTTCATCGTGAAACTAATCAAAATCATCTCTATTTCTGTAATGTTTTCCATTTTATCACCTGAGACCATGGAAACGAGAATACAATGATGAATACTATACAAAAATACACCTCAAAGTCGGCATTTTAATCCAAAAAAACGGTCCTTTTTTTTTTCTCATTATGCACTGCGTGATGCAGGATTTTTTTTATGTGGTGCACACTGACCACACAGACCCATTCTCTCACATGTGGGCCTACCAGCTTTCTCCTGCTTGATTTGAAGCCTCTAGAATTTATGAGTATTAATACGTCCAAAACACTGGCTCGTAAGATGTATATATACGACCAAAACAGTCAAAGGGTTAAAAATCTACATTTTTTTGACAAAATTGTATAAAACAAATAGAAATCAACTAAATCTACAACAAATAAGCATATATTAAAGATGAATGTATTTGATAAAGTAGCAAGAGGAAAAAAATTAATTGAAAATTACATCTAAACAACAGTTCACAGAGCAGATTGGGTTTGAACCCATGCCAAGCCAGTCCTAAAATTAGCAGGGCAGTGTACTAACTACACTACCATGCTGCCTAAAAAGATTATTGCAATCACGTTTTTATGATTTTGCGAATCATCTAAACAGCATTAAAAATACAGTAAACCCTCTTACAGTGTGACTTTACATTGCATGATTTTCTTGTGGGAAAATCTTTACATTGCGTGCCATAAAGCATCAGCTAACACTCCAAATATTTTTATTTAGTATATCTTTTTCCAAAAAATTTTTATTCGATAATTTATCAATTTTCAAGCCAACTAAAAGAATGAGTAAATAGCAAGAAAAGGTCTTATTACACTTACAATTACAACTGCAGTAACAGCAATACCAAGTAAGTAACCAAGTAGTGTTAAGAAATCCATATCAGACACTAAGAAAACTACCTGAAAAGAAATAAATTGTTGAGCAAATTAATAATAATAATAATAATAATAATAATAATAATAATAATAATAATAATAATAAAATATTAATAATTAATAATGATAATGACAAATGATAATAATCAATAATAAATAATACTAACACTAATATTACACAGATTTATCTTGGATTCCAACTCATCTCCTTTACCCTACCTAAAAATGAGCTTTAAATTGAATATTCTCTGTACAGATGAACCCTGTAATTCACAGGGGATAGGTTTCTTTGGGTAACTTGAATCCAGAAGCCATAAATAATAAGAAATTTTGAATGTCTGAATTACTAAAATATTTTCTGTATAATTAAACATTGTTCTAATCTGCTTAGTACTGATATTCATAAGAAAGAATTAGCACATTTTTAATGAAATTGCAGTATATGGTTATGCTTCAACTGCGGGGACATGTACTAAGCAAGTACCACAATGGGCACCAAGGAAAAATGTAAATGACTGAAGCTATCCACTAAACAGCCTTCTGTAAAAAGCGTAATCAAATCCTCTGGATTATGAAGCATGGGAATTCAGGGTTCGATTGCATGTCACAGATGATGCTACCAATGTCGCTATGATTTCATCCAAGCTGAACAAGTTTTAAGTGTCCTAAAGCACTCATAGGAAAGCAGGGAAACAGTCTCTTTTAGCTTCAGGTCATGAAGTCATGGCTGTAATTACACACAGTATTTCTGGATGCTAGAAATGGGGAAAAAAAAAAAAAAAAAAAGCTCTCAGAAAGGACACCTGCCACTTCCGAGATGTCATCAATCAATTAACAATAGAGGATTCAGGTAACAGGTGGGGTCACTAGAGGGCCATGTGATTTTTATTCTAGATTCTACGGGAGTATTAGAGCAAATTTACTCCTCTACATAACATAACCATGTTGCAATCTGGGCCTTATGAAAGACATGCCTCCTGATAGCCAACACACTTACTGTGGCTCTTTACATCATCTATTGGTGCCAAAATATCTGGTACAGGAAACAATGGATGGAGGTGACATCTAGGTTTCTCCAACTACAGTTAGTGGATAAGGGAAAGCATGGTTAGTCAAATGTGAGTACCACTGAATTCGTGGTTACACGAATTCCATTCACCTTCTCAATTCACTGAACAACTTTGCTGAGCAGTCTTATAGCCTCCTCACACTCATGAAGCCAGAAACCAACAGCAGCAACAGTATCAACAATAGAAGCAACATCAGTAGTGCTGGCTGCATCAGTAGTCATGGCAGTGATATCAGTGTCAGCAGCAACAGTGACACAAGGCAAGTCCAGTTATTACATTCCAAACCATGTCACAGGCTATAAGCCACAGCAAATTTTGATTAAGGAAGAGATAAGATAAGATTTCGTTCGGATTTTTAACCCCGGAGGGTTAGCCACCCAGGATAACCCAAGAAAGTCAGTGCGTCATCGAGGACTGTCTAACTTATTTCCATTGGGGTCCTTAATCTTGTCCCCCAGGATGCGACCCACACCAGTCGACTAACACCCAGGTACCTATTTGCTGCTAGGTGAACAGGACAATAGGTGTAAGGAAACGTGTTGGAATTTCCACCCGCCGGGAATCGAACCCGGGCCCTCCGTGTGTGAAGCGGGAGCTTTAGCCACCAGAGGAGGGAGGAGGGAGAGTATTTTAATTTGATCCCAAGAAAGGGATGTAAACTCTAATTCATTGTATCAAAAGCCTTTTAATGCTTTAAGGAGCCCTGTGGCTCAGAGCTGAAATGTGTAGTTATAGAAAATTATATGCTTTTACACAAGAGTTGTAATAAAGTTGGTAGAATTACCGACAATATGTAAAGTAAAAGGACACAAGTGCAACTAATGTGACATTTATTGTGGCAACGTTTCGTGAAACGTTGCCACAATAAATGTCACATTAGTTGCACTTGTGTCCTTTTACTTTACACAAGAGTTACTGCAATATAATACAAACAAATACATTTTCTATATTTTTGAGCTAATAAGAATATTTTAGAACAAAATAAAATGAATTAAAAGAGGTTCCTCTACCAGAATTTCAGCTTGTGTGGAAAGGTCACATCCCAATTCATCTGTACAAGTACGAATCACAAACAGTATTCAGAAAGGTTCTAAATTTTTTTTGACCATAAAAGAAACATGTTCATTTTTTAAAACAAAAACCACAAAACACAAGTGCACTGTTCTGAACAAGAGATCACAGTGCAATATCACATTTTACTTTTCTTGGTAAACACAAACACCTGGCAGTAAAAAAACACATGACAGTAACAAACACCTGAAATTAACAAACACAAATTAGCTTAATGAATGTCTAATCCTAAGTCTGGCCAAAATACGCTGCATAACTATGGACGTTTCCATGTATTTTAATATATACCATAACATATAATGTATTATGTAATGTCATAGAACTTAAACTATTTGCTTTACAGTACCAAACACCTGACAGTGACAAATACCTACTGGTAACAAACATCCACCATTAAAAATCTGCCGGTAAGAAACACCTGCCAGTAACAAACACCAATACTGAACATCTGCCAATAATATATACCTGCCAGTTACAACCCCCTGACTGTAACAAACATGACAATAACAAGCACCTGCCAGTAAATAACATACCACGATATTTCAGATGTTTATTGTACAGTTCCTTGTGTTCGTCTTTCCTGGAAATACAAATAAGCAAGTGTTTATTAAGCTTCAAGATATATACCAAGACGTCTCCATCCAGCAGGTTGGTCAGAGAGGAGAACACAGGAGTTCAGCAGTGTTGGAAGTGATGATGTGCTGCTGTTGTTGTTGTTAGGGTTGTTAAGAGCTACAAAAGCTTACGCCTTGTTGAGCCCTTCCTCCCGGGAGTCCGAGAAAAATATATGGCTCTAATTTAAGAGGAAATAAAGTTTCCTCCCCACAAAAAAAACGGAAACGAGAACAATAAGTTCCCAGTTAGGTCAGGTGAGTTCCCGTTGCCTAAATCCCATGCCTGAGTCAACGACAATGGGCTTCGGGTGAGGTGGCACAGCAGCTGCAACAGCCACAACAAATATGACACCTCACCAACACCTCTCAACACTTCCTTTGGCTCTGACTTTGGCGACAACTGAGTGTGTGTGTGTGTGTGTGTGTGTGTGTGTGTGTGTGTGTGTGTGTGTGTGTGTGTGTGTGTGTGTGTGTACTCACCTAGTTGAGGTTGCAGGGGTCGAGTCCAAGCTCCTGGCCCCGCCTCTTCACTGGTCGCTACTAGGTCCTCTCCCTGACCTGAGTTTTTATGTACCTTGCTAAAGCTATGTAGGATCCGACTCCACTACACCTTCCCAAATTTTCCCCTTTCCTGACTACTCTGGGGCTGAGAAATACTCCTAACATCCCTTTGATTCTCTGTGCTTCATTCCAATTGTTCCCCTTTTTTACTGTGCCATCCTGGAACCCCCTGCTTGTCCACCTTGTAAATTCCTCTCATATTTTGAAAGTCTTACATGTCCCCCCACTCTCCGCCCCTCCAGTGTCGCTTTTTGTTTTCCCCTTTAAACCCTCCCATAGGCATACCTCTATTTGGGACTAGCTTTTTGAAAACCCTTTGCCTTTCTTATTTTTTTACATGCTTGGCAGGTGTGGGTTTTCCAAATGGGGCCGCATACTCCAATAGGGGCCCTAACGACACGTTAAGGTCCTAAACGATTTTTTATAAGATGTCGGAATGCTGTCGAGGTTTGCCAGGCCCCTTTCGCAGCATTATTTGGTTGATGTCGTTTCGGAGAGTCCTGGTGTTATACCCCCCCAAAGTTTTTTTTTTTCCTTGGTGATTTTTTGAGTCTTGCCCCCTAGACTGTACTCCATCCGGTCTTCTTTGCCCCCCCCCAACCTCATGACTTTGCACTTGGGGGTTTTTAACCCAGGAGCCAGTTTGCTGGCCGGTCTGCAGCCTGTCCAGATCCCTTTGTATTTCTCCCTGGTTTCGATCGAATGAACTCTTCTCACAACTTACGGATCGCAACAGTGACCCTCAAGTTTTTTCCCTTCCATCATGTCGTTCACAAAACCAGAAACACACGGGTCCGGGACTGCCCCCCTGGGGGACCCCCGGTCACGGGTGCCCACCTGACACCTGCCTCGACCATTACTCGCTGCTGTTTTCCAACAAGTTTTCCCTGATCCATTGCATGCCTTCCCTTTTATTCCTGTTTGGGTCCCCCCCATTTTTGCACTAACTCTTGTGTGTACTGTGTAAAACCCTTCTTGCAGTCTAAGAAAATGCAACCACCCACCCCTCTCTCTCTTTCTTACGCGTCACCAGTCATAGAACTCCATAGGTTGTACACAGGGTTTCCCCTTTTGAAACCATTTGTCTCTGGGGTAGATATTCCTTTTCTAGATGTTCCACCTTCTCTCCTGACAATATTTTCCTATTTTTATGCAACATGTCAGTGAACTGGTCTGTAGTTTTGGGTTCATGTCTGTCCCTTTTTTAAAAATTGGGGACCACATTTGCGTCTTCCCTGCCCCAGGGAATCTCCCTGTTTTTGATAGATGTATTGAATATTTTTGTTTAAGGGACCATGTGCCTCTGCTCCCTCTCTCAGGCCCTGGAGAATTTATCTGGCCCCCCTTGCCTTTTAGGGATCAGCCCCTCGAAACCCTTCACTTTTTTCCTCGGTTGTGTGTCTGTGTCCAGCACATGTGTGGAAACCCCCCCTCCGTCTTTCTGGACCCCTTCTGTCCCTCTGGAACACTTTTTTGAACTCTTGTTGATTCCTCAATACTTCATGTCCCCTTTTTTGTTGTCTCTCCCCTTCCTTTCCCTTTTCTATTACCTGGGCCTTGACGGTTGTTTTCTTCCTGATGTGGCTGTAAACAGCTTGGGGCAGATTTGGCTTTTGCTGCTATTCGTTTTTATATGACGTTTTGGGGCCCCCCTTCTTTCTGTGCAATTCGTTTCGGCTCTACGACTGCTTCCTTATTCCCTGGGGCCTTTGCCTTCATATTTTTTTCCTTCCCCAGCACACTTGGGTTTTTGCCTCCTTGCATCTTTTGGGGGAACCCTGGGCTCATCCTGGGTTTTTCATTATTCCTGTTACCCGGGGACAAACCTCTCCCAGCCTCCTTGCACATTGTGATACATATTCCCATCTCATTTAAATGGTTCCCTGCCTTCTCGTCCCATGAACTCATTCAGGAAGTTCCTCATTCCTGTGTAGTCCCCTTTCCTGTAGTTTGGTTTCATTCGTCCTGGCCTTCCTGCTTCCCCCTCCACTTGTAGCTCTACTGTGTATTCGAAGCTGAAAACCACATGATCGCTGGCCCCAAGGGGTCTTTCATATGTGATATCCTCAATATCTGCACTACTCAAGGTGAATACTAAGTCCAGTCTTGCTGGTTCATCCTCTCCTCTCTCTCTTGTAGTGTCCCTTACGTGTTGGTACATGAAGTTTTCCAGTACCACCTCCATCATCTTAGCCCTCCATGTATCTTGGCCCCCATGTGGCTCCAAGTTCTCCCATTCGATCTCCTTGTGGTTAAAGTCGCCCATGATCAGGAGCTTTGCCCTGCATGTATGAGCTCTTCTGGCCACTGCAGCCAGTGTGTCAACCATCGCTCTATTGCTCTCATCATACTCTTGCCTTGGCCTCCTGCTGTTCTGTGGTGGGTTATACATCACTGCAATTATCACCTTGGGACCTCCAGAGTGAAGCATTCCCGCTATGCAATCACTTTCTTCTCCGCTGTCTCCTCTCTCCCAGCTCATCAAAATTCCATCGGTGTTTTGATCAGCAATGCCAACTCCTCCCCCCCCCTGTTCCTTCTGTCTTTCCTCAGGATCTGGTATCCCGTTGGGAAGATGGCATCTGTTATCATACCTGTAAGCTTGGTTTCTGTGATTGCTATGATGTCTGGTGATGCCTCTTTGACTCTTTCGTGCCACTCCTCCCACTTGTTTGTTATTCCATCAGTGTTTGTGTACCATACCTTCAGTTTCCTTTCCAACACTGTGGTTTGGGGGGCCTGTGGGGGTGGGAGAAATGGTAGCATACTGTGGGATTCTATGGTTGGGGGTTGGGTGGAAGCTGTGGGTATGGATTGTATTGTGTGTTGGGATGGTGTGATAGGTTGTGGGGTTCTGAGGATAGTTGTGTGTGTGCTTGCTCTTGCTGCTCTGTTCTGCTCTGACTGACCTCTGCTGGTTCCATCCTTGTCTCCTTTCCTAGCTCCTTTCGCTTTTTTGTCCTCTCCCTCAGTTGCTGTCTCTCTGTTTGTGTTCTGTCTCTGTCTAGGAACACCTTCTTGTACTCTTCCGAGCTTCTCAAACCATGGTTTTTTTCTTGGAGGACCTGTTCCCACTGTTTCTGTCCTGAGAATCAGCTTGATCGGTCGGTTTCTCCCCTTCAAGTACCCCCCTATTCTCTGAAAATTTACAATCTCGTCCATGTCTTCTCCCCCTATTTCCGTGATGATTTTCTCAATCTCCTTTCTTTCTTCCTGCCGTCTTTCAGTGTGTGTCCTTTCCTCTCTCTCCTGAAGCCCATGGATAAACACTGATTTTGCCCTTTCCTCCTCCCATTGCCTCTCCCTCTGTGACTCTGGTTCCTGTCTGTATGTGGTCATTTTCTCCCTTGATTTTTCCAGTGGCTCTTGGTAGCATGGTTGTGCCTCAGCATTCGACCTATCTCCCTCTCCATCTGCACCCATCTGCTCTTCCCTTCCACTCCCTGGCCCTTCTTTGCAGGCTGATAGGACCTTAGCATATTTCATATCTCCTTCCTTCCTGTTCAGCCTCTCAGCTTCGAATGGTGTGTCTTCTCTGGTCACTACCCCTGAGACTTGCTTCAGCCTGTTTACCTCAAATTCTAGGACCTTTACCCTGGCTACTGCAGTTTCGACTTGTGCCTCCCAATTCTTCGTCTCCTTCTCCAACCTCTTTTCCCATTTCACAGAGAGCTCTTTCCCCATTTTTTCAGAAAGCTCTCCTAATTTTCTCCCCCATTTTGCTTATCCTTTTCCGTCCCCATCCTTTCCCCCCTCCCATACCTTTGTCATCGACCCCCTGATTCCTGCGGCCCCAACCCTTTTTTTTTTTTTTTTATTTAAAAGAGAAAGTGAAAAAAAAAAAGGGGGAGAGGTGAAGAGGGGGGAAAGAAAAAAAGAGAGAAGGGGGGGGGAAAGAAGGGGGGAAAAAAGGGGGAAAAGGGGAAAGGGAAAAAAAGGGGAGGGGGGGGAAAAGGGGAAAGGGGGGGGGGAGAAGAGGGGAAGAAGAGGAAAGAGAGGAAAGAGAGAGGGGGGAGAGAAAAGAGGAGGGGGGAGGGAGAGGGAGAGAGGGGAAGAGGGGGAAGAGGAAAGAGTGAGAGGAAGGAGAGAAAAAGAGAGAGGGGAAAAGGGGGAGGAAGGGAGGATGAGAAAAAGGGGGAGAGAAGAGAGGAGAGAGAGAAAAGGGGGGAGAGAAGGGGGAGAGAGAGAGAGAGAGGAGAGAGAGGAGGGGAGGAGGAGAGAGAGGAGAGGAGGGGAGAGGGGGGGGGGGAAGGGAAGGGTTAGAGGGTCACTTCACAGGAAGGTGTGAAATACTGTATATGGGTGTATGTGTGTCTGTATGTGTGTGTGTGTGTGTGTGTGTGTGTGTACTCACCTATTTGTACTCACCTATTTGTGGTTGCAGGGGTCGAGTCACAGCTCCTGGCCCCGCCTCTTCGCTGATTGCTACTAGGTCCTCTCTCTCCCTGCCCCATGAGCTCTATCATACCTCGCCTTAAAACTATGTATGGTTCCTGCCTCCACCACATCACTTTCTAGGCTATTCCATGGCCTGACTACTCTATGACTGAAGAAATACTTCCTAACATCCCTTTGATTCATCTGAGTCTTCAACTTCCAATGTGACCTCTTGTGTCTGTGTCCCATCTCTGGAACATCCGTCTTTGTCCACCGTCTTTTCCGCGCAGTATTTTATATGTCGTTATCATGTCCTCCCTGACCCTCCTGGCCCCCAGTTTTCTTTCGGGCCGATTTCCCTCAACCTTTCTTCATAGGACAAT